AATTTCCTTTTCTCCGGAATTTCTCCCTCTGCATTAGTCCTAGTGGCTTTACGACTAATCCCCCGGAGGCACATTGCCCCGCGAATTGATTACAGTTACGTCTTGGTAGATAGGCTAGTCAATGATATGAAACAAAGGTGATCCTGGTAAGTAAAAGTCGAATGTTGCAAGCGAGAGCACGAGCGCTTTTGAATGAGTTTCGAGTCCATGGCGCATAGAAAAACGTTGAGGTCCTCAGATTTTATGCCACAATTGCATTCGACACTGCAGCTATCAGTACGTGGGGCATTCCTAAATATTTTTTCATGTACCTGCTTAGTTTTCACGTTCATACCCTTTTTTAAGGGCATGCCCCAGGATGAAGCTGGTGTAGTTTTTGCAAACGAATATGAACGTGCTGGAGCCGTTGGGTCGGCAGCTAAAATAGGGAATCCTTAGAATACGCGCAAGTTGAGGGCTTGCTCACCTTCGTAATGCGGCTGTGCTAAGGCAATGAGAGACTGAGCGCGGAGAGGAGAGTATGAGGCGAGAGAGCGCTACAGATGAGAGAGCGCCAGACAACAGCCGGAACATTGCAGCTGCTGCAGCTAACTTTGCAAGGCCCTAGCGCCTTGTTGGATTTCCATGCACGGAGTGCCACATCTGTGATTGTCCTCTAGGGGTCTATCCTCAGACCAGAGGGGACCGTTCACACGACTTCTGTCTGGGTTACACCTTCAATGGCCATCCTTTATTGAATCACACCACATCCCGAAAATTCACTTGCATTTTGTTCCCTCGCGGACGGGTTAGAGGCAAAATTACGACTCGTGGAATAGGAAACACTCGAGATAAGCCAACGTCGATGTGGTGTTGACGCGAGCTAGGTGTGCCTTATTTTGCTCAATGAAAGACTATCGTACTCGTTGGAATTGGCAGTGTTGAAAAGATGGGAAATTAAGTTAGAGTTTTGGAATTTTTTTCAAAAATTGCTGCGAATCACGCCGTCTGCTTCCCCCTCCCCCTCCCCTCCTCCCCCAACCCATCCATCTTGATCGATAGTTGGATTTTTAGAGAAAAGAAGGTGCACATCAGGTAGTATGAGCGATTATTACAAAACGAATTGAACTATGGAATTGGAGTGCCGCTAAGAAGTCGTACTGGCTGCCAGACCCCAATATCTAGCCTAGTCTGGAACCAGGTGAATCAATCTTGTTCTGCATTCCTTCTGCCTGATAATTGCCAGTTATCAATTCCATAAGGGCGGAAGTGGTGCAGTGACAAGTGGCGCGCTCACCACGCGAGCGGTCCGGGATCAAATCCTGGGTCGTGAGTCGCCCGGGCCAACCAAGCCTTCCATCCCTCCGGGGTCGGTTAATTGGTACCAGACTTGTCTGGGAGATAAAAAACACTGACTTGAACATCGGCTGGCCCCCGCAAGTCATTGTATAGGCCACATCGCATTCAAAAACGCCACTACGAAATGTACAAATGGAAGTAGAATGCGTGCCGCATCCCAAAAACGTTGATCAGCGGCAGATGCTTCATCCTTTTTATCCTTTATCCAATTCATTTTCATTCAATTCCTTTTTTTTCTTTATCCAATTCACGCAGCACCGCCTGGAAGTTGGGTGCCAGGAGGCTTTTGTTACTGATTTCACTTCCTTCTAAGGATTGCTCGTAATAACTTCGTATAGCATACATTATACGAAGCCGATCGGCTCGATGAAAGCCTTGTTCGGATCGTCGCTTTCTCACTTTATTCGATAATGTTTGTCGGGCGGAAGTGGTGTAGTGGCAAGTGGCACGCTTACCACGCGAGCGGTCCGGGGATCAAATCCTGGGTCGTGAGTCGCCCGGGCCAACCAAGCCTTCCATCCCTCCGGGGTCGGTTAATTGGTACCAGACTTGTCTGGGAGGATAAAAACACTGACTTGTACATCGGCTGGCCCCCGCAAGTCATTGTATAGGCCACATCGCATTCAAACGCCACTACGAATGTACAAATGGAAGTAGAATGCGTGCCGCATCCCAAAAAGGGATTGATCAACGGCAAATGCTTTATCCTTTATCCTTTTATTTACTTTTTGAATGCGCTTCGGCCTTGTAATAACTCGTGAGGGGGGGGCAGACCGATGTACAAGTCAGTGTTTTTATTCTCCCATTCTGGTACCAATTAACCGACCCCGGAGGGATGGAAGGCTTGGTTGGCCCGGGCGACTCACGACCCAGGATTTGATCCCCGGACCGCTCACGTGGTAAGCGTGCCACTTGCCACTACCTCTCTTCCGCCCTCAAGTTTTTATGCAATAGTTATAAGTGTAGCAAGAAAATTATAAGGAAAGGAATGGGGAATAGAAAAGATTCGAAGTTCCTTTCTCCACATTTATGGTTTCGTCTTTGATCGCTCATGGCTTTGCGGGGGGGAAGATCATTTGAAACGGGGCATTTAAGAATCGCGATGAGCTTTTGAACATCAATAAGTTTAGCCACAAGACGCTTTTAGAAACCACCCCTCCTTGAGACTTCATCAAAAGTACTGCAGGTGGCTCACTCACTTGAATGCCCCCTCCTCTCCCCCCTAACGGCATGAGTGCCTATCCTTCATCTGTTTGTTGCCTTAAGAGCTATAACGATGGCGAAATGGGAGACCCTTGATAGGAACAATGCTCTTTTTTCCTAAATTTTATCATGCAATTAATATGATTCATTTTGGTGGAGGTAATGATGTTCTTCGATTTTATAAAAGTTTCTGACATTGTTTGTCAACGCAATTCTCCGAACACGTCACTAAAAAAGCTTAGAAACCAGAATGTGGTCGTTTTTAGGCAACATAGCATGACCAGGATCTTCGATGTGGATCGTCGCATTCATCACTATCAATTAACAGTCGTTATTGTCAAAAGGGTCATTGTAAAGCGATGCTAAAAATCGATGTTCAAAGGGAATTTCAGCAATAAACGAAATTCATTGACATGAAATCGGGGCTGGACTCTCGTCTTGATTTCATAACTGTGTTGCTAAAGTTGCAGAGGAGAAACAGCGCCCCTGCTGTTCGCTGTTCTCAGAGGGAGGGGCTATGGCGATGAGGCGGGGCTTTTTTCCAACTAACAAGCTTTTTTAGCTGTTTTCCTTTTGAATCAAATCAGCTCAAATTTCAATATGCTTCAAAGGCAGGCCTTTTTCGTTGAAGTATATGGTGAACCGGAAAAAGAGTTAAGAATGAAAAAATATTCTACTAAAATTCTCGAGTATGACCGAATTCCAAGTAAATTTCAATTTATTGTAAAAAGCTTACAATTCAACAAAACAATCGACCGCATGATAAGAAACGTTGAGCAGATTCAATTGTTGATAACCTTCTGGAGTCGAGACCTTGGCATGGCAAGTATGAAATTAGTAACTGAATTCTACGTCTTTTGGGACAACCTCCTTAATTCTCCTTCAAATATGTCGAGCTTCTCCCCAGGGTCAAGCGAGGCGTTGAGGAAAATTTGGAAATACGACCCCCCCCCCCCCCACCCTCCGCCGGAGGCCGAAGTCCATGAAACAACCCTCTTCAAAAGCCGAACTATGAAAAGGTTGAAAAGCTTGTTTAATTCTCCCCCAAAACTGCTCATAAAAAAGCCCTGCTACCCCACCGCCCACAAAAAATTCGTTTAAGAAGTACAAAAGTGAAAAAGTCAAAGAATAATCATTATTGATGAGTCCTACCAAACGAGCAAACGAGAAACAGAC